ATGTCATTAACGGATGGTAAAATAAGTAAGTGAAATATGAGAAAAAAGCTATTTATATGGGTTCATGGTTAGGTAATTAACACTTATTAAACACTTATTAATTAACCTGGCCGATATCATCTAAACCAAGTAGTAAAACTGAGCAGCACAAGTTATGAGACACGTTGACATTGTATGTCTCGTGATAGGAGTCACTGAGAAAAACACATCACCACTTCTGTATGAATTATGACTCACGAGGCTGCATCAGTCAGAACCAGACTGAGGGACATTCCACAAAGTAACTGGCCTGCACTCATCAAAAATTTTCAGGCTATGGAAGATAAAGAAAGAATAAGTTATTTTTCTGGATGGAACCAAAGAGTTGTGACAAATAAATGTAACCTGCGACCCTGGAATGGACTTGGGATCTATAAAAAACAGGACTGGGACAAATGGGGAAAGAGAATGGGGTCTATGGATTCAACGTAAGTGCGGGGTCAACGCCACCTTCGTGGTTGTAATGACTACACTGTGCTATGTGGGGCTGTCCAGGTGGCTCAGTAGTAAAGATCCGCATGCCAATGCAGGAGACATGGGTCCAGTACCTGGGTGGGGAAGATCCCCTGGAGAAAGGAATGGCAACCCACTCCAGTATTCTCGCCTGGAAAATTCCATGGACAGAAGGGCCTGGTGCGCTACAGGCCATAGGGTCACAAAAGAGTCAGACACGACTTAAGAGACTAGTAAATAAACAAACAAAAACCATGTGTATATATATATGAGAATGTGTCTGTCTGTGAGTGTGTCTGCTCAGGGGTGGGAGGGACAGCTGTTAATGGAAGAATCTGGGTGAAGAATACACAGGAGCTCTGTGTACAATTCTTGGAACTCTTCTGAAAGTTAGAAGTTAATTCAAAACAAACGATAAGCAACGTCTGTTTACAGAGAAACTCTAGGCTTGACCAAGCTAGAAGCGATGGCAGGCTCTATTTCAACAAAAGCTATTACAGAGAACTCAGGAGAATGGGCAGAAATGGAGTCACTAATAATTTCTCAGCCTGAAAATGTCACTGAACGGAGTGAAGAAAAAGTGGTTATGGAGAGACATCGCTTCTGCAAGAGTCGGCCAAAGAAAATGACTACATCTCCAAGAGTAGAAGAGATACAACTAACTTCCTCCTTGGACATAAACAAAAACTGAGAAACCAGCTCAGGGCACAGGAGGACAGCTCGGCCCAGCCGGGTGAGAGGTGACTTCGGGACAGCCCCGCTCCTGCCTCCTCCCGGGCACCGGCTCCGCGGTCCTCCTGCTGCTGCTACTGGGCCCTGGGCTGGGGCAGGTGCTGCCAGGACTCTCCCCGGCAGGGAGGATGCTACGGGAATGAGAGTGGACCCCACGCCAGGCTCAACAGAGAGCTGGCAGCACCGACCAGGCCACCCAACCACCTGAGAGTCTGGAACAGGATCGCCAGAAGGGCAGGGCAGACACGGCTCCCGAGCCCTGTTTTCTTCCGCCAGGTGCTGACACGTCGTGTCGTTTCACCCTCGCCGCTAATTCTGCGACGGGAGCTTTATACACTTACTGTAGAGGGTGCAAAACAGACTCGGAGAGGTGAGGACCAGAGCTGGAGGCCTGAGGAGGGGGCGTGCAGGGCTCGGATGCAAGTGCAGGTCTGGCTGGCACCCAGGCCCATGCTCTTTCCACTACCTTGGGTTGGGTCTCTGTCCTCTGGGAGTGTGTGAATGGCCTCAGGTTTTCCTCCTTGCAGAGATACAACAGGAGTAGTGATTTGCCCCCAGTCAGTGTCCACCTGAGTTCCTTCCCCAGTCTTGGGATTCTCTGACTTCAGGAAGGACTTTGAAGAACCCGTTGAAACTATACTCAAAATAGTGTGTGGGTTCACATGGTTTTTTTGTTTTTTGTGGCAAGAGGGCCTGTGGTTTTTGTTGGTTCTCAGAGGGGTCTATGACTCAAGGTTATGGTTTAGGCTGCTTTAGGCATTATTCTGTCTGATGCTCTCCTGTAACAGATGAGGAAATGGGTTTCTTGAACTTGATTTCCTACTCCCAGCTTTTGTTGCTTGTTCTGGAGCGAGCGCAGCCCAGCCTACGCAGCTCTCCTACGAGAAGCTTCCGCTACTGCCCTTGTGCTGTGGACGCGTCCTGGCGAGGCCAGGCGGCAGGCTGAGGGGCCAGCCCTGCATTTTTCAGAGAGAAATGGAGAGTCCCTAAGGAAGGGAGGGCTGGCCCTTCGCCCAAAGTCTCATGAACAATGAGTGTGCTTTATATGAATTGAGGCCATGTGAGAAGAGTGGATCCCAGGATGACACCAGATAATCCACAAAATGACTCTTTTTTTCTTAAAGCTGGATAGGTTTGGGGAAACCACATGGTTATCTCAGATATGCACTTTAAACCCTGGACCCAACAGCTTTCAAGCCTTTCTAAAATGAAGAATTTGGATTGATAAGAGAAGATAGGGGTTTGGTCCCTAGTAGTCATGCAGGTGGATTACTTCAAGACCTGTTTATCTAACAGGCAAATAGCAGCTCCCTTTTCCTTCCCTGCAGAGGTGTCTTATTAGTAATCCTGAAAAAAACTTTGTGAATGCAGAAGACAGGGTGTTTAAAAAAAACAAAAATGGTAATAGTAACTATTTAACAGACGAGGAAATGATTTCTTAAACTTGATTTTAGTAGTCTGCCCTTTTGCATGCCTATGGATGTAAGCCAAATGGATACAAAGCAGGAGGAAAACAGGCTTTACAAGGCAAAAGATGTCAAGGCAACTTTTTTTTTTTTTTTGCTGGGTAGGTGGCAGGGAGGAGGTTGTTTTTGTTAACATAGAAGCTCTTTCACAAATTAATTTTCTGGGGTTTTAATATGTAATTTGTAATATGATTACAAAATTTTGTAATCAATGAAGAAAAGAATAGAAGCAATCTATCACCAATTCAATGGTCATGAGTTTGAGCAAACTCTGGGAGACAGTGAAGGACAGAGGTGCCTGAGGTGCTGCAGTCCATGAGGAGTCGCAAAGAGTCAGACATGACTTGGCGAATGAACAACAACAAAAAATCAAATAGTTGAAGAACAGTAACATTCTAGGTAAGACACAAATACGCACTTGAAATGTTCTCTTAATTTTCTGGTCTACCCTTGGAATATACTTTTAAGTAAGAATGTGCTAAAAGGAAAGAAGCATTAAAAAAAAAGAGAGGGAGGGACTAGACTTTAGGACCTAAGTGGTTTCCCAGAGAATTCCCCTCAAGGAGTTTCTCAGAGCTGCTGTTGTCCCTGTGTGAGCCACTGTCTGGCCCTTCTAAACATATACTTTAGGCTACAGGGCCTCTTCCTGAAGCCTGGACCAGCCTGCCTCCAGTCAGTTCAACCTGTTTCAGAAACCCGGCCTTTACAAAATGTGCCTTCCATTGTGGAAGGGCCTTCCACAGTTGCTCTGGCTGTGGACAGAGATTCAGGGATGAGGAGGGGTCCCTGTCCTATGCATAAAAGTCGATACTGGAACATGACCACACTCTTCTAGCTGTGAGAGCACTCATGACCATATTCAACTGGCTGTGGTTGTACTGGGCTGCTTGATAAGCATTTTCTGGAGCCCCTGCATTTGTAAAAAGCATGTATATTAAATGGATGATAATCCATCAAAGAAAATAAGAAGCCATCAGTCCAAACAGACAAAAACCAACCAACCAACAAGTGGGGGAGAAGAGGAAGCTCTTCCTTCTAGTAGAATCCCAATGAGTAAATGTAGCAGAAATGATAGAAACCCACAGTGTTTGGCAAACACTACAGTAATCACTGTGTCAGGCAGGAATTGTCAAGAGAAGTGACAATGAGGGGCAAAGTGACAAGACGGGGGATATTTACATGGTCCCAAAGTATCCCCCAATAAGATACTTAGTATAAAGCAAAAATGCAGCTTTACTGGGGAAAAGCTGGCAGATACCACTTAAGCAACTGGTCAAGGTCAACCTCGGCAGGAACAGGACAAAGCCACGTGAGGTGCCCCCTCCTGACATCGTGCGCTGGGCAATGAGAAGGACACAGTGTCACCTCTGCGGTACTCTTGCCCAAAACACAGAATCTGGATGCAATCAAGAGGAGACACCACAAACAGAAATTGAGGGCTCTGGACAGAAGAGCTGGTCAAACACTTTTCAAGAGTGTCAAGGTCATGAAAGACAAAGAAGAGGCTGAGGAACTGTTCAAGCTTAAAGGGGACTAAGGAGACCTGACAACTAAAGGCATGACTGGGTCTTGGACCAGAGGAAGGACATTTAGGGGAGAATGGCACCTTCCTGATTTTGATAACTGCGGTTCTCTAAGCTGCTACCATTCTCTGGGGGCTTCCCAGGTGGTGCAGTGGTGAAGACCCCGCCTGCTAATGCAGGACACATGGGTTCAATCCCTGGGTCAGAAGATCCCCTGGAGAACTGAATGGCAACCCACTCCAGTATTCTTGCCTTGGAAATCCCATGGATAGAGGAGCCTGGTGGGCTACAGTCCATGGGATCACAAAGAGTCAGACCCAACTTAGAAACTAAACCACCACCACCATTCTCTGGACAAAGGATATATGAGAATTCTTTTATAACTTTCTGATGAATCTAAATGATTTCAAAATGAAAAGTTAAATTATACTTGAAAACATATATATTAAGAGTTCAGGCTTTCAGTCTCCACTTTTCAGCACTTGATATCATAAAGCCTGGCAGATTGACAGGCACACGTAAAGGGCTCAGTGCCCATCTCGGAAATAGGCGCTGGGACCTGTTTAGGAGCACCTTAGAGTCCCATTCAGGCTTCTGAGATTTTCAGACATAATACACTATAACACTCAAAAGACCAAAAAGTATCCTTAACAGCTTTCCAGGGAGGGTCACAGGCATGCCAAGTCCCTCCTTCAACCTCTAGAACAAGCTGTGCACTTGTGAGGCCCCTCCCTGACTCGAGGAGGGAGAAATTGCAGGAGAAAGCAGCAAAATGGTTGTCACTCACTTGTCCTGGGATTCAATATACACGTAGAGATGCGGCTCAAAACACTTGGAAACAATGCCATGAAATGGATTGTCTGGGGCTTTAGGCTTCTTAGGCTGTGAAGGAAAAAAAGAGAGAAAAGGAAAGAAAAAAAGAAACTCTGTGCTTGAGCCATCTTTGCAAATTTTCCAGCAGTTTCAACAAAAACATCTCTTCAAAGTTCACTCCTAACTTACAGAAAAGAAGCACGCAGTGTAACTAGACTAGGACCATGTCCTGTATTATAATTCATGCCAGCGTGTGAATAATAAACCAGCTTTGTTGGCATCATTTATGTGCTCTGTGCAGTGAAAGATTTACAGCTACTGTGATAACACACGCATTTTCAATTTGGAAGTTCTTCATCATCTGACTGATGTTTCAAAAATGCAAATTCTTGCTAATAATCAGCACCTTATAGCTGGGCAGTGCCTTGGAATGTCTAAAGTACTTTTACACAGTCTAGTTTTGAAAGCCTCCATTTACTGCTTGTTATTATGGGCCAAGCACTTTGATACGAAATAACATCTCATCTACTCCTCACAACAACCCTCAATGTAGGAATTATTACCACTATTTTACACTAAAAGAAGGACTTCCCTGGTGGCTCAGCCGGTAAAGAATCCGTCTACAGTGAGGGAGACCTGGGTTGGGAAGATCCTCTGGAGAAGGGAAAGGCTACCTGCTCCAGTATTCTGGCCTGAAGAATTCCATGGACTGTATAGTCCATGGGGTGGCAAAGAGCTGGACACGACCAAGCAACATTCACTTTCACTACACCTAAAGAAAGGGAGGCACAGAAGGTGTTAGCAGCCTGCCCCCAGGCACAGGATGAAGTTTCCTATCTCCTAAAGGGGAACGCTTTCTATTAGATCACTGCTGTCACTGTAATGCTTCCTGACTGCCGAATTTCATCAACAAATAGGAAACAACAACAACAACAACAAGGGCAGGGCGCCAACACAGGCGCCCTTGCTAACTTTTTACTTTGCTACTTTACACTCTCGATATTCTCGCCGCAAGTTCCTGAAAGAGTATTTTATACCTAAACCTTTTAAAAGAGAAAATAGCTGCATAAAGGCAGTTCTTGCCAAGAAGAGACAGTTAGTTGGTGACCTTATACCAAGATAGAAAGATAGATAGGTAGGCAGACAGGCTGGCTGTTTTATCTGTATTTTTTGCCTTGCACCAGTGAAAACATGGATCAGCCCTGGTCCCCAACTGATGCTGGGAAAACTGTATCTGATAAAAAAGTTATCTGGGCAGGAAAGCATTTAAAAACTACTCTTTGCTACTAAATTCCCTTTCAAAACATCTAAAAAATAAACAAGATCTTCCTACATATTTCTGTTCCTAAAAAAAGAAAAGCCAATTCTATCTATGTTTTGTTTGTGGGCATTTGAAAATAGATACAGGTCTCTGAGGCTTTGCTGGGGTTGATACAGGGGTACAATTTGGATATAAATCTTCTAGTAATTAAAAAAAAAAAACAAAAACCTGAAATACTTAAAAACATCTGTAAAAACTGGTAATGATCACCTGAAATTAAATGTCAACTGTAGACATATCCCATTTAATCTCATACCTAGCTCTATTCCCTTTTCACCTTCTAAGAATTCCATATCTTTATTTATTTGGCAGGATTTGAAGAAACTCTGGTCCTTCCTAAGACTAACTATAGTCTGGGCTATTTTCTCTTACCATCCAGAAGCCACTGCCAAAGTCAGGCCTTAGGCTGAGACTGTGAGAGGCTGTGGGCTTCCCAGGTGGCACCAGTGGTAAAGAAGCCCCCTCCAATGCAGGAGATGTAAGAGACGCGGGTACAATCCCTGGATCAGGAAGATCCCCTGGAGGAGGGCACGGAAACCCACTCCAGTATTCTTGCCTGGAGAATTCCATGGATAGAGGAGACTGGCGGTTGCATGGGGTAGCAGAGTTGGACATGACTGAAGTGACTTAGCACATAAGAGCGGGTTAATCTGAGTTTAAATTGGCTAGATCCAAAGTTCTACTTCATTTCATAGATACCTTAGGGGTTTTTCTACATTTCCATTAGTTTAGAATGAGGGATCTGTGATGCAGTATGATGACTGTGAAGGTGTGGTCCTTATCTGTTTTACATTTTCCAGGTCAGTTACTTATACTTCAAAATTTGTTATTCTTTTCAATAAAGTGATCTGATAAATGAACAGAAAAATGTGATTTAACTTGTCTAACTTTTTTAGGATTAGATATCCTGGAATATCCTGATTTTAACACTGCCACACAGCATGTGCACGGGCATGCTCAGTTGTGTTCGACTCTGCGACTCCAGACTGTAACCTGCCAGGCTCCTCTGTCCATGGAATTTCCCAGGCAAGAATACTGGAGCTGGTTGCCATTTCCTTCTCCAGGGGATCTTCCCCACCCAGGGATCCAATCCCTGTCTTTTCTGTCTCCTGCACTGGCAGACAGGTTCTTTACCAGCTGAGCCACTGGGGACCCAGATATCCTGATTTTAGAACTGGAAAATAAGACCACAATACCAGATACCTTTTCATTAACTAAAATGCAATCTTCATAAATATTATAATTATTCCCTTTATTTATATTTTTTCCCCTGACAAAAATATTCACGTCTGTAGGATAGCTTCTGGAAATTATAAATGGGAGTTTGTATAATATAGAATATTGTCATGTTTTAAATCAACATGTGTATTTTGTATCTGGCTTTATGTATTTACTAATTACAGTGTGCTTTCCCAACAATTTACAGTGTTTTAATTTATCACTTTTGGATCACATTATAGCATTTAAATAAGTCTATAAATGAGATATCACATTGGTGTTAAATTTTCTGATTTTGACCTGTGGTGATTTTAGTGAATACCTCTCTTTAGTGAGTATCTTAAATGAATGTGTTTGCTAGAAAGGAAATACATACTGAAATACTCAGAGACAGAGGGCATGATACTTATAAACTTACTTGTTCTGAAAGAGAAAGAGACAGAGGGAGGGAGAATAAGAGACAGAAGAGAGAGAGGGGAGAAAATGATAAAGTGAATGTAGCAAAATAGTAGAAACTAGTGAACTCAGGTGAAAGATATTTGGGAGTTCCTAGTAATATTTTTAAAACTTTCCCTAAATTTGACATTTTTTTAAAAAGAGAAAAAGGTTTCAAATAACAATAAAAAACATGGCAGATAATCCCAGGTATAGCAGAGGAGCATTTTGAGAAATGGCACATCACCAGCAGCTGGAACTACACTGTGTGGCAACAGAGACATCCACACCTGAGTGAAAAACGAGCTTAGCATCAACATCCTGGTTTTGATAACATGCTGTAGCTATGGGAGCCATCAGCACTGAGGGAAGCTGAGAGATGGGTATCCAGGACTTCTCTGTGAAACTTTTTATGAGTCTATAATTATTTTCAAATAAAAAGTTTTTTTTTTAAGTGGTTCAGAGGAACTTCCTGGTAGTCCAGGGGTTAAGACCTCCCCTTCCAATGCAAGAGGGTGTGGGTTCGATCCTTGGTTGGGGAGAGAAGATCCCACATGCCTCCTGGGCAAAACACCAAAACATAAAACAGAAGCAATACTGTATCACATTCAATAAAGACTTTAAAACTGGTCCACATCAAAAAGCTCTTTAAAAAAAAAAGTAGTTCAGCAGAGTTAAGACTCCAAAGGTGAAGAAATTTGGGGAATATCTTTACCTATTTATTTTGCTTATATTTTCCTTTTTATGTATGCACAAAATGATATGTGATAAAAATGTATGGATGAATCTAAAGAGCTTATTCAGATAGAGATTCCAATGACTAGGGAGTATGGCTGCCTGATATTTCAACAAACTCACCCTGACCGTCTTCCCGGGGACCCAAGTTTGATGAGGCCCCACAGGCGCCTCTGGCTGTGGCTCCGAAAGCCAGCCGCACAGTCAGACACCACAGGTGGCCCGAACCCCTGCGGGTGACTACTCCACCCAGCCTCTGCCCTCCAACGGCACTCCCAGCAGACAGGAGGGACCTATAGCCATAGTCATAGCTCCCTGTCCTCCTACCGAGCTTTCAGTGTGATTTGGAAGCAAGAGGGGAACAATGGGAGGGACTGCCTCAAACCTGTTATTTTTTAACTCCCACCTGCCTCCTGTCTCTGGCTGCCTGAATATCTGTGTTCATATTTAGATGCTACAGGCTAGAACTGCAGCTCAAGATGGTGTCTCCCTTTGCACCTTCCAGCTCCCTAAAGGGTTGCTTCTCAGCTTAACGAATATACTAAAGTCGTTTAGCAGTAGCACTCAGGCTGGACTTCGGAGTGTGTGAATTCTGTCCAAAAGCTGCAGATGTTTAAGCTATTTCCTCCTGGAGTTTGATGGAATAATAAAAGGTTACTGTTGTCACAGTAAGGAGGTCTGCAGCTGGTCCCATTTCCTTTTATTACAATCCAATGTAAACAGATTAAATCTAACTGCTCGGATCACCAGAAGGGTACATTTTAAAGCCAGAAATTCCTTATTTCTTCTCTTTCTTTTATACTCTGAGGACCCTCAGTCCTCCTTCAGATGCCATTTTTTAATCATTGGGAACATGTTGGCAACAGACTGCTCGAACTAAATACCTCTTCTCAAGTTCACGCTTCCTGCTCTATAGCTCATCTTGAGGGCCCCTGTTTGCTGACTGCAGTGATGCCAACAGGCTGGCTAACCCAGGACAACTACTGGTCCCCCTGCCCTGGCCGAGCTCACCACCAGCATCTCGTGCGCTTCCCCCTGAAGCCCCAGCTGGCTCCTCCGCTTCCTGTGAGCCCAACTTCAGAAGCCAGCGAGTGACTGGGAAGTAGGGGGGTGGGGGTGGGGGGTGGGTCCTGGAGCTCCCACCTAATCAACCACAAGTGGGATGGTGCTGGAGAGATGGTAGGAGGTTGGGGACACAGACAAGGAGGCATTAGTCACTGGTGTGTCAGTTTTATTACTAAAAAGGAACAGCTCGTGAAACAGAGTGGATCATCTAGTCCAGCGGTTTTCAGTAGTTTTTTTAGGTTTTTAAAAATATGGACCATTTTTAAAGTCTTCACTGAATTTTTTACAACATTGCTTCTGTTTAATGTTTTGTTTTTTTTGGCCGAGAGGCATGTGGGATCTACCTTCCTGATCAGGGATTGAACTTGCACCCATTGCATTGGAAGCTGAAGTCTTAACCACTGGACCACCAGGGAAGTCTTAGTACTTTCCTTTTGAACATACCTAGAACCCCTGATCCAAAAGTAATTTTACCTGGGAGTCCATGAAAAAAGTGACTCAAAACAGAACTGCTTTATTTGGAGGGACTTAGAGCTCTGGTCTCCTTCCAGCTCCCCACAGTGACATGTGACAGGGCACCAAGGAATATAACTGGAAAACCACTGGCTCCCTTTTAAACAGGAAGAAACAAGGGAAGTCCAGTGAGAAAAGTACCTGCCTAAGGTCACATAGCCAGCTGATGGCAAACCAGAGTCTGGTATCTTCTCCATCACGTGACTCTGCTCTACCCCATGCACCTGTGTTCTGTGTCCTTAGAATGAGCAGGTCTTCATCCTTAAGACAAGCTTAATCTCAAGCTTCCAGGATGAGCAAAAAGTTCCACAAGAAAGAAAAAAAACCAAGTCACCTGACAAAACTGATTTTGTAGCTCGTGGGGAACTCGATCATAATCCGGTTTTGTGACACCCAGAGATGACTGGCTAATGGGATAGTTTTCCACAGCACTGGGAGCATCTGAGTGTTCAGCTACGTGATTCTGGACGTGACAGTGGCAGCCATGTACACTGGGGAGACAGGAGGGCCCGGAAAACAGCCCAACTACAGAAGGCCAGCTCAGAGGGTGCAGGTACCCGAGCGCGGGTGGAGGATGGGCTCCACACCTGGACTCTTCTTTCTCATCCCAGTCCTTCTTCCCAAAATGTGAGAGACACATTTCTTTCTTTTTTTGGCTGTGTCGAGTGGCATGTAGGATCTTAGTTCCCAGACCAGGGATCAATCCTTTGATCCCTGCACTGAAAGCATGAAGTCTTAACCAATGGACCACCAGGGAAGTCCCTGAGAGAGGCATTTCTTTAGTTCAGAGAAATCTTTGTTTTCTCCTAGCCTGGCTGATATGATGGCTTTAAATCAACCACGTTTAATCTTGTAGATATCTGGGATATGGCCTCAGGGCATCTCTCCAGTTTTCTCCTCCTCCTCAAGTCGCTCAGTCTGACTCTTTGCGACCCCATGGACTTTAATCTACTAGGCTCCTCTGTCCAAGGGATATTCTAGGCAAGTGTACTGGAGTGAGCTGCCATTTCCTTCTCCAGAGGGTCTTCCCAACCGAGAGATTGAACCTGGTTCTCCCGCACTGCAGACAGATGCTTTACCGTCTGAGTCACCAGGGAAGCCCTTATTCATTCCCTTTTATTCACGGGATTCATTTCTAGGTCCTCCACTTTTCAGGGCGACATCACAGTGTGATGGAAAGAGCGCCAGGAAAGGAATTTTAGTCTCTGACTTCCAGACCTGGCTTCCAGTCCTTTCCCAGTTTCTTCACTTCCAAACTCTGTAACCCTGGGCTATTCAGTGAGCCTGCCGCTCACAGAAATCCTGTAAAAGGAGAGGCAGGCATGGGAAGGATGAAATAAAGTAAAGCCTATAGAAGACTTTAAAACTATAAAGCACCATAAAAATTTGAGGCATCCACATTATTATAATTATTTAATCAGTGGATCAGATACCTCTGATGGCATCACTTCAGAGCTGCTCCTGGGAATTCTGCTCTCTTGGCTCCTGCCAGGACTGTACACCTATCATCCCCCCTGGGCTAGGAACACAGGGTGAACTTCGATGTGCGTGGCTATGGGGTTCCCAGAGCTGCTCCTCCCAGCCGGCCTCCCTTTCAGTGGTGTCTGGATTAAAAGAATCCCATAAAATCATCCTCCAGCAGCCAAGTGTAGAAAATTAAAAAGAAGGCTCACTAATCCAGACAGGAAAAGTCCTGATTTATTGCTCTAACCTCTCGTGTCATAAAATGGCAATGAAACAAAAACACCATTCTCTGGAATGGAGGGAGAGGAAATTTAAGAGTTGGACAGAAAAAGCCGAAGGAAATGAAAGCGCTGGTGTGCTCTGAAAAGTAACTCCCCAAATATGCCACTGGTCCCCTTGGTGTTTTCAGGCCTCCCTGACAGCTTCCAGACCTAAGGTGCTTGGCTTCCGCTGAGTCGGAGTCTCTCCTGGCTGACGGGGGCTGCTAACTTCACCAGGGATCTTTCAGCCTCTCATGTCATCACCGGACGAGATCAGGGGACAACTAAAAGCTGGGTTGACAAATGCGAGAGATGATGAATGAGCCAGGGCAGAGTTTGGCCGCCCTGCCATACCCGCTGATCAAGTTTGGATGTGTTGCTGAGGCCGGTGGTGGTGAGGCGACTGGAGAGCAGAGGGGTAGGGTGGGGTGGGGTGGGGCAGGAAGGACTGCTCTCTTCCTCAGGTTTCTAAATGCACTTTCAGATAAAGCCCTTCTAGAAAGACCACCAAAGTTGTAATCTCTGAATGTGGTCAACAGCCAAGGGATCATATTTAAGAATGAGCAGATCCTTTTTCAGAAACAAACATTCGGCAGGCTGTGCGGGGCGGGGGGGTGGGGGTGGGGGGGGGATGCAAACCAGACTTACTTGCTCTAAATCTCCTTTCTCCATCACCAGTTCCTCCATCTCTGCTGCTGGCTCATCTTCCAGGAAGGGATTGGTGGAAGCAGGTGGAGATTCAAGTTTTTTCTGTTAATTAGATGTGAGAAACAGATGGGTGTTTTCTGAATAGAGTCAACACCTTTCCCCACTGATCTGACTTTCCAAGGCTCTCCAAAAGCTATACCATACAAACTGATTGGCAAAAATGGAGACACCCTGGATCACATTCTCACCACCAGGCCTTTACACTGCTTTTTATAACTGGAGGATAATTTACAACACTGTGATGGTTTCTGCCACATAGCAACATGAATGGGCCACAGGCATACATGTGTCCCCTCCCTCCTAAGCTCCCCCCTCTCCCCTCAGCCCACCCCTCCAGGTAATCACACAGCACCAGTTTGGTGCACTTCCGCATCACACATCAAACTCCCTCTGGCTCTTCCAGAAACCTTACTGCCCACCTGACCCTAATTGTGAGCTGCCTAAAACTCTCACTCATCCTTCAGTCTTCAAGTCAGAAGTCCCCTGTTCTGGGCAGCCTTTCCCCACCTGGCAAGTCTTGTTTAGAAGCCTCCATCCCCACCTGGCATGTCCCCTAACCAGGTTATTTATTAAAATACTGCCAATTACTCATGTGTGTGTCTCCTCCCCACTAGGTTCTGTGACTTCAGGAATCATGTCTGTCTTCTGTCCTATCTCTGGTGCCTGGCCAGAGACCTCATATCTTTTCTGAAATATGAAGATGGGTTTGAATTAAAAAACAAAATCCAGAGCTAATCTTTTGTGTTCCAGATCATAACTTTTCTCTTCCCAATTAAGACCCATCACAGCACCCACAACAAGACCTCCTTGAGACAAATTACTCCCCAGCCCCTGAAAGTGACTTTTTTTTTCATTTTTCAAAAATACTTCTGAGCATGTATTAAAAACAAACAAACAAACATTTATTTGATTGCACTGGGTCTTAGCTGCAGCATGCAGGATTTTCAGTCTTTAGTTGTGGCACTCGACCTCTTTAATTGCCACATGTGGGATCTAGTTCCCTGATCAGGGATCAAACCTGGGCCCCCTGCATTGGGAGCACAGAATCTTAGCTACTGGACCACCAGGAAAGTCCCGTGACCACTCTTTCAAAACATCACTGACTGAGACCTCGGGCTAGTAGAAAGCTGGAGGCGGGAGATGTGGGTTTCAGCTCCAATGCTGTTGCGCTGGCCCAGTCACCTAGCTTCTCTGAACCCCAGCAGCCTGACTGGCTGAATGACGAGGATAGAGTTACAGACTACTTGACGGATTAAGTGGGATACAGCATGTGAAACGCTAGAAGAAGCACATGATACCTATTTACAATGATGATTCCAGTGCAACAACAGAATCGAGGTGGTGCTTTGGAATTTTTTCTTTTTTACAAATCTGACCTCAGAATGTTGTTTATGCCAAGGAGCTGGGTGTTCTGGCAGAAAGGGAACTCAGCAGACAAGCAGGATAAAGGGGACTGGCAGGTGCTGGGCAAGAGGAAGAGGGGAGAGGAACGGCTCTCTTGAGACAAGAAGCTGGGTACAGAGGGAGTTTCTAAAAGTACTTGTGAGGCGACTTCCCTGGTGGTCCAGTGGCTAAGACTCTGAGCTCCCATTGCAGGGGCCCAGGATTGATCCCTAGTCAGGAAACTAGATTTCACATGCTGCAACTAAAGATACACATGCCACAATGAAGATCAACGCTCCCACGTGCCACAGCTAAGACCCGGCACAGTTAAACAAATTATTTTTTTAAATTTTCAAAAATACTAAAATAAAAGTCCTTGTGATAATTTGAGTGCAGCACTGATAATTCACTGCACTGATAATTCAGTGCAGCAGACTGAATTAATCCCTATGGCAAGAGGGATGGCAGACAGACCACAGTGTATGAATGACTCTGTCCGATGCCAGGACATCAGCTGAAGATGTTACCGAGAAAACAATGAAAGAAGGAACCCAACAAACACAGAAAAATAAAAAATAAAACTTAAACACACACACACACACAAACCACACCCATGTCTGGTTTAAGCTTTAAGACAATTCCACTTACATCCATGTAAACTACTTAATTCTTCTTCTTGTTTTTTTTTATACTTAATTCTTGGCTAAAACACTTGGACACTATATGTAGCTGGTCAGAGCCTTTGTGTATGAAGAAAGTCTTGTGATTAAGGCACTGTATGTGCGTGCGTGCACACGCTCAGTTGCGTCCAACTCTTTGCAACCTTAAGGACTATGCCCCACAGGATCCCCTGTTCATGGAATTTTCCATGCAAGAATACCAGAGCAGGTTGCCTTTTCCTCCTGCAGGAGATCTTCCTGACCCAGGGATTTACCTGCATCTCGTGTCTTATGCATTGGCAGGTGGATTCTTTACCACTACGCCACCTGGGAAGCTTAATTAATGCATTAGCTCAAGGAAATCAGGAGGAGAACAATGATTTTTGAGGCATCCTCTGAAGAAACAATATGGTGTAAGAACCCAGCAAACATTTCAAATGTATACACTTTGAAATTTGGCTTGTTTGCCTGATATGGGGGGAAAAAAACCTCATAAATGTAAAGCAATTTACATTTATTTTCAGAATTAGGCTATTTTTAGAAAGTAACGTTTCTTTGAAAGCCATATTTTTCTAAGTTTTAGTTGTCTCTGTGATGGTTGCTGGTATTTTAGGGTGAGGGTGAAAAAGGGAATCTAAGCTTCAACAAGTTAAATTAGTTAATAGCACTGGATTCCTGATCCTACTGGGTCAAACTGGGTCTGGGGATCACACTGTTGAGCTGGCCCGCTATGATTCTGAGTCTTTCGGTCCTTTGGAGATGTGGAGAGCAAGTCAGCAACTGAATGCAAAGCTTTGTTCAAAATAGTTCAGCAATACAAACAGGATGTAAGTTTTTGAACCAAATATTCCTCATCTAGGCCTACCAGGGTTGATAATATGTTTCACAATTATATACAGGTAGGCCTGTATATATGAGGGTAGGCCTCATTTTAAAAACAATGTGTTCTTGGAAATGTTGACAAAAGGAGATACTGGTGATGCGGACTGAGGGCGTTCCTGGGCTCCATGCTCACTGATGGGAGTATTCAATGGACGGAGGTAAGTCGTAAGAAGCAAACATAAAAGGCAGCATTGAAAAAGCAGAGAGATGTTCCAGGCAGTACAGTGTGGGCTACTTGTCTGATGTCACCGGGTCAGGAGATTCCCCACAGGAGAGGTGTCCTTCCTATTCTCACAGTCTGTCTCTATTAACAAACTGCTAAGATTACTGGAGTCAGGGGCACTCAGGAACTTCCTGCTCATTCATGTGAGGCACATGCATTCCAACTGGGAACCAAGCTGATACCAGAAAAGCGACTCACCACTCCTCGACTTGACAAAAGGATGCACTGGGCACCACGAGGAAAGCAGGGAGCGAGGTGGACTATGCTTGGTCCTGAGGGAGCTTACGGTCAAGTGGGACAGGCAGATTTAACCAGAGAATCACACAAGCGTGTGAGGAGGGCCATACAGGAAAAGCAGGGGTTGTTATGAAAGGATGCAATGGAGGGTCACAGAAAACCACCCTGAGGAAACAATGTTTGAGCCAGAACTGAAGGATGCTTCAGAGCTCGTGTGGGAGCGATGTGGGGTGTCCAGGGCTTTCTAGGCAAAGGGACTAGCAGGTGATGCCACCCATCCTGCAGTCGTGTGCTGAGCATCTGCTCAGCTCCAGGCACGCTCCTGGGCACCAGAGAGCCAGCACTGAGCAAGATAAAGAAGGGAGGTGACGTGCTGAAAATACAGTGTGGGAACTGGGCTGGGCTGGGGAAGTTCTTCACAAGGTGATCCAAGAGGGCCTCTCTGAGGCAGGGACATGAGTAGAGACCTGAATGAGGAGAAGAAGCCGGCTGGGCCAAGACCTGGGGAAGAGCATTCTCCCCAGGGAGAGCCGGTGCAAAGGCTGGAGTGAAAGGAGCATGGTGGGGAGGGGCAGCGGGGCCCCCGATCACACAGCCTGTTGTGGGCTGTGGGAAAGGCTGGTTTTCTCATCCTAACTGGGCAGTCACTGGGGGCTCTAAACAGGGCAGTGTAAGGATCCAGTTTTAGATTCTGAAGAGGCTGCTGCCAGGTGGGGCTGACACCAGAGTGGGCAAAGCTCGAGTGGTGGAGATGGAAAAAAGGAGACACATCTGGAGCATCTTTAGAAGAGCAGACTCAAGGGACTTGGTGAGAGAGTGGATGTGATGGGGAAGGAAAGAAAGGAATCAAGGGAAAGGCGCTTTCTGGCCTGAGGAACTGTGTGGCTGGTGGGACCACTGACTGAGGGACGGGCCTGGGTTTGAGTCCAGGCTCTACCACTCGGGTATGTGGCTCAACTTCTCCATGCCTCAGCCCTTCCACCTGCAACGTGAAGGGATACGAACACCCACTGCACAGAGACGTAGAGACAGTTAATGAGGTGGCACACGTAAAGCATGACTGTATACGGAGCAGCTAAACACAACAGCCGGGGAAGTGCGGCATGCAGGGGCTGTCCTTAGTGTTTAACTGGGGTACAAGTCACGAGGGCAGGACCGTGGCGTGCCCCTCAATACAGCGATGCTCAGCGGGGAATGGGAGAGGAGCACAGGGCTTAGAGGACTCATAAAAAGAATGTCTTTAATCACAAGTGAGATCTGTCCCTACTATTTCATCTCTTTGGGAGCTCTCCGGAAAATGAAAGCAATGCATCCATCAAATTACAAGGCAGAGGCCTGCTGGGCTTCACCCTTCTGCCCTAGTCTCCAACAAAGTCCTCCAAGTACCTCCTGGATCACCATCCCATTGGCAAATGTTATGCCACAGAACACTGAGAGGTGGACACAGATGCCTGCTACTGAAAGGGCCATGCTACTGCTATGATTAATTTGCTGTGATGAGAGAACCAGTCTCTGCAGGGAGCCGTCACCAGCACAACTCAGCCCTGTGTGCAAGAGGCCCGCTGGCAGAGACAACCAAATCTGCCACTCACTCCTGCTCTGTGGCTGTCATAGACCACAGAGAATTACAAGTTGAAGTTTAGATTTTAAAGAACTCAAATGACATGTTCCATGAGCTCTGGGGCTGCTAAATGAAACCAAAAAATCTGCCAAGAAATGCACAACTTTCCAGTTTTGAAAGAATTCATTCTTTTTGCTATGATGACAGTTGATTTCAAGTTCATACATGAAAAGTCTTCACACTGCCAGTGTATTCCTACTAATTAAACCACATGGGATTCCCAACACTATCAAAACAACAGAGGCCACAGGACAGCCATTTACTGTTGGGAAGAGCCAACCGGGCTTTAGTCAGTAGTATGTCCATATCTGGGTCTGTCTGCACAAATCTCTTTCTAAGGTCTTAGATGGACCCTTCAAATAATCAAAGAAGAAACTCTGAAATTGAAGATGAATCTGTTTCCTTTCCCTGAAGAAGAGAGCTTTCAATGTTAGATGAAAGTTCCACAGTTTCTGCATTTCTCATTCCATAAACAGTTTATTCCAGCCCAGTTCCTGATTTGTCCTTAAAGAGATGGCCTAGAGGCCTCAGCCAACAGAACAGTGAGCACAGGCCTATGCATACCTGGTTTAACCTCGCTGGGACCGCTCTTTTGTTCTTGGTACCACCACGTTCAGATCTCATGTGACAGTTACGTATAGGTGTCTTTCTCCTACTAGAATATACGCACCTGTCTGATTCAATTTTTCATCTTTACCCAAGGCCCTGCCTCAAGAGGGAGCTTGAAAAATACTGGTGGATAAATGCTGGTGGAGAAGCATTCAAAAAAGTCCTCTTCAGACACAGACATTATGGTTTCTATTTTTTGTTTAAAAAAAAAAAAACAATCAAAACCCAGGTAGGTGTGTGTGTGTGTGTGTGTGTACATGTCCATGCACGGTTGGAAGAGTCTCAAATTATAACCTACACTATTAAACAGTGTACATCTCTGGGAGAAGGGATTTAGAGTAACTGAGAAAGGAGAGATTATTCTATTTTTTTTAATATTCTGTCTTTTATTTAAGATTTTTTTTATGTCGACCATTTTTTTTTTCAATGTGGACCATTTAAAAATTCTTTATTAAATTTGTTACAATATTGCTTCAGTTTTATCTTTTGGTTTTTTGGCCACAGGCATGTGAGAGTTTAGCTCCATGACCAGGGATCAAACCTATAGCCTCTGCATTGAAAGGCGAAGTCTTAACCACTAGACCTGGATCCAATGCCAGGAAAGTCCGAGGAAGAGATTGTTCTTTTAAAGTATTTTATTCTGTTTTGAGCTATAATAAGCATGACTCTCCCTCTTTTTGGTAGATAAATTACCTGAAGCATGAAGATGATTTATAACTAAACTCAGATTTTCTAAAACCCTTGATATTTTAAAACTGTGACATAATTAACATAAAATTCACCATTTTAAGGTGATTTTCATTTCAGTGATTTCATAGAGGCTGAATATAATGTTTACCATAAATCTAATCATTGAGTCTCTAATAATGCATGTGGGTATAGTTAAATCCTATCTAGACATTTGCTTTTAATTTCAAGGCATTTTAATTTATAGACTATATCAAATCCCTCCTAAAGGGTCAGGAATTTAGGCAATCAGCTAGAAATCTGGGCAGTTCCCTTCTTCCAGTAACATTTATAACACAGGACATTATGAGTTTGTTGGGGCTGGAATAATAAAAACAAAACATGCCCTGTCCTTAAGGCTCTTCCAGTCTAAGTTTCTAACAGATGTCAAATCACATTTGTCAAAAAAGAGCAAAAGATGATGCATCCCATGGCTCAGTTAGGAAGAGCTTTCCAGGTGAGCCTGTCTTTTCAGGTGAGCTCACCCTCATTGTTTCACTGTCAATCTGTCACCAAGGGGCATGAAAAGGCCTGAGTGATACAGTGAAGGGTAGAAGCTGAGCGAGCCTGGGAGGGTCTCTGGTTAACCTGGCCCTCTGGCTGACTTCTTATCTGCTCTTATCTTATTTTCCAAAGAATTTGATAACTTGCAATGAAATCGGGCCTATGATAAAGAGTATTAAGATATACTTTGATTCATTCTGTAGCTCCACTACCCTGAAACAAAATGGTGACCACAAAAGATTACCCAGAAGGCATATCCTGGCATCAAGGCCAGACAGAGAGAAGGGCAGGAGACAAGCAACAGCCAGTCTTCAGATGGGGTGTCCAGCAGGTAGACTGGCCATTAGGCCAGGTGGCACTTCTGACCCAGCCCAAGCCAGCCTCTTTCCAACACTGTCTGTTGGGAGCACTGTCAGCAGTCACTACTAAGTCCATCGGGGTCTCTGACACTGATGTCTGCAGGCTACTGGTGAAGGCGTGGCCCCACTTGCCCACACCAAGATGTTTGCTGGACCAGGTTCAGAGTGAACATCACTGACAGTGAGAAGCACAACCGTCACATCTCCCCACAGCAGGGCAGCCGTGAGCCAATTCTCCAGGACCTGGCCTGCCTTGTGAAAGAGGCCAGAGGAGTTCTGTTGCCTTTCTAGAAATTCATCTTTAAGGGAAGATCCTTGAAGTCTGTGGAGCTGCCATGGTGAGGAACTGGAATGCAGAATGGTTGCTGGGTCACAATAACTGGGACAAAGAACAGTCTCAGGGGAAGAGACTGTCTTAAAAGAGAGGAGTGACTTGGAGAAGGCTGTGTGGAAGACAGCTGACCAACTGGAGAGGTGAAGGGTGAATAAAAAGCTCATAGCTCAGGATTTCCCTGGTGGTTAAGAATTCACCTGCCAATGCAGGGGGTGCAGGTTCGATTCCTAGTTGGAGAACTAAGATCCCACATGTCTCACAGCCAAAAAACCAAAAAATGAAACAGAAACAATACTGTAACAAATTCAATAAAGTCTTTAAAAATGGTCCACTTGAAAAAAAAAAAAGCTCATGGTTCAGCAGGATTTTTTGTAATCTGAAACTCTGCAAACTAGATAGGAGAGGCAGGCAACAGCTGAACAACTGGAGGAGGCATTTGAAAATTGATTATGCCAAAGAATTTCAAAGACAGAAGTCCAAAAAGGAACAGATTGGTGGGAAAGGTTCAGCGGTTCCTAGTGACAGGGAACAATATCACAGAGCATAGTACCCCCAGGAGACAGAAGGCTGCAGTCTGGGAGCATGACCCTGGCAGTGGGTAAAAGTGGAGAGACACCGGGCTGCCCTGAGAAACAAGTAGACATCCACTGTTATCATTTCCAGACCTTTTTCTTACCTATTTATATATATAAACATGCTTCTTCCACAAATGGAATTCTACTATATGTACTTGGCTATGTGGCTCAGTTGGTAAAGAATCTGCCTGCAATGCAGGAGATCCCTGGTTCAGGAAGATCCCTTGGAGAAGGAAATGGCATCCCACTCCAGTATTCTTGCCTGGAAAACCGTTGGACAGAGGAGCCTGGCAGCTCCAGTTCATGGGGTCGAAGAGTTGGACATGACTTAGCGACTAAATCACCACCACTGGGCTATAGCTTATGTTTTGCACCCATGTATGTGAGAGGTTTTCTTCCTATGACAGCATATCTACATCTATTCCTCACTCTACCACTCTGAAACTGTTCTATCTATTCCACAGCGTGAATATACCATATTTTACTTAAGGTCAGTGATGGACATTATAGAAATCTCCAACGTTTTCTGCTTTTAGGTTGCAGTTCACCTTTTTGGGGGTTACATCTTCCTCTAAGCACATCTTCATTATAACAAAACTCAAGAGTTGATAAAGTAATAAGGTATTTGTGACTGAGTAAGTGAGGACTTTTATGACTCACAGAATTACTAGGCTTAAAATGGGGCCAATCCCTTGATAAAATGATGACAAAACATTCTAAAAACATGAAGTACTGCAAAATAGACAAATGATAAAGCCATATAGAATGTTCTGTATGACTATTTGCATGAATTCAACGAAATCCTTGGGATGGGGGATTAAGCACTTGAGCTGATAGATGGAAACACCAAACTGTAAAAGACTTCAAAAGCGAGCTCACCCACCCAGGCCACCAATGCCCCAGTCTGGTATCCCTTAGGACAGTCTTACCAGCGTTCCATCTGTCAGGGTGCACCCGGAAAAACGTTTTGCAAGAAACCCCTCAAAGTTAGTCGTTCTTTGAATAGCAAAGAGAAGCAATTTCACTTCAATTTCCTTAGCTCTTGTACGCATGATCTTGGCAAGTTCTGTCCTTAAAATTAAAGAAAGAAGAATGTTGTCGAACAAACTGATCATTCAAGATAGGACAAAGCAAGTGGCTTTAGCTTATACTTAAAAAAAAAACAAAGTATGTAGTCATTTCAAAACCTGAAGTCTATCACCAACTAAGTTTAATGCTCAGGGAATAGAAACACATATTCTAAATAAGAATTTTAGGGACTTTTCCGGCAGTCCAGCAGTGAAGACTCTGTAATCTTGCTGCCAAGGGCCTGGGTTCAATCCCTGGTGGGGGAACTAAGATCTCATAAGCCATGCAGCCTAAATAAATAAATAATAAGAATTTTAAGGTGAAATTATCCAACAGTCCAAAAAAAAAAATCAAAGATAATGGATATCAATTTGCTTACACAGATACTACAATTTTTATTATTTTTAAAATTTCCATTCACTTGTTAATAGTATATATGAAGCATTTACTCAGTATTTTATAAAAATGCATCTATTCTATATAATTTTACAAGTCATTAATTACTGAATCATAAAGCCCTCCCTCTTCCAGATAGCTCAATAACCATCTTTTCAACCAGAAAGCAGGACCCCTGGGTAGAGATGAGAGAGATGGGAGTTGATCCCCTTGTAAAAAGTGACAGGTACCCATCTGGGTGTTTCCTGCCTATGACGTTCACAGGCCACTCAAGTGTCCTACCTCAGAATGCTACGCTGTAAGGGAGCAGTCACACGAGAGTTCTCAGTAAGTACTGAGCTACAGATCATCTTCACACACAAATAAACAACAAAAACCAAACAAAGAGCCTCTTGAGAATTATGTACCTACAGGCTTTTAGCCAAAATTCCAACAATGAAAGCTTGGCAGCAGCACTGCCATTAGCTGACACAACAGCACATGTGTTGGCTTTTGTGTACACTCACTCTCCTGTGGACTTCGTTTTTCACAGAAAATGCATTTTTCAAGACACTGAACTAGGGGCCAAAGTGAATTAGTTATCGATCTCTCAAGCAATGCACTCCTTTGCTAATCAGGACTCAGAAAGTGACAACCACAATCAACCTTGAATCAATAAGGTCATCTAAATCCAGCAGCAAGTATGTTTCTGAAAACCACCATCACACAGAATGTAAAGCACCAAGGGTGACCCTAATGTAAACCAGGGACTCTGGGTAGCAATGAGGTGTCAAGGTAAGTTCAGCAACTGTAACCTGTATACACTCTGGTTGGGGATGTTGATGATGGCGGAGGCCTCTGAGGATGCAGGGGAGGGCAGAGGGTATACGGGAATCTTCTTGTCGATCTTGCTGTGAACATAAATCTGCTTTAAAAAATAAAGCCTACATGTGCATTCTAGAGCCCGAGCTCTGCAGCAAGAGGAGTCAATGCAATGAGAAACCGGTGTGCCACAGGTAGAGAGTAGCCCTGCTCACCCCAAACAGAGAAAGCCCCCGCACAGCAATGAAGACTCAGCACAGTCATAAATAACTTAACAAATAAAGCCTAGTTAAAAACAAACAAGATCAACAGCCAATATCTCTTAATGAATCCCTGCCCCCTATGATGTGCTCTTAAAGCATACAACTTGACTGTACTCCACAATTTTAAGAGAGATGATTACCATGAGTTACTCTAAGGTGGCTGAGTTATGCATACATATGGGACTTCTTAAAACATTAACTGGGGTTAATGTAACTGTGCACTGGTCAGAGGGCCTCTGCAGATTCCAGCTTTAGCTCTGTCGTGGACACACTGATCTATACTTCTTGGGCTTTAATTCTTTGATCTAAAGGGACTATCTGGCCCTGGGCTATGGCTCACGGAACCGAAGACAGGAGGAATGGGAGAAGGTCTCTAAAAGGCTCAGAATACTCAGATGCCAAAGTGATTAACGATCCAAAGACTATAAACACTGGGTTACCGGTGGGAAATCTGCTCAACAACTATTTCCTGAGTGTGTACTATGTCACTGGAGTAGACACAGCCCTGTCCCTCTGGAACCATCTACCTAGCATGTCAGAAAAGCCGAACGATGATGGATGTACATTCGCTGCACACTGATATGTGTGACACAGACACAGGGGAAAATGTGGGGCAATGAATCACTACAGGGAAATCTGGCTGACGTGCTCTTGGATGGCTGAGAAGGCAGGCCGTTCAAGGTAGGGCAAGGCTATAGGGAAGTCCTAGAACAAAGATAAGAGCAGACTGTGCTGCTGTGTGGTGTGTATATCACTCTTTAGGCAGAACAGACATACAAACAAGTGCTTTGGCTACAGCCTGCTGGCCCAGGGCACTCATGTACCCCTTTCCATTTTTCCCTATCAAGTGTTTACCCCCTCTTCACATAACGCTCTCTCCTCTAGGGCTGGAACTCTGAAGATGGAGAAGGTGGAATACAGGTACAGCTGGAGTCAGGGACTCGGTTTTAGATATATACCAATGAAATCTAACTTTCAACAGGAATGGAGTCTTCTGAAGAGACTCCAGCACAGCTGAAGACATTCTCCTGAAAATCATGATTCTCAAACCAATTTTTAAAAACAGGTGGAAGTGGTTCCAAAGCCATAGGAACCCATAGAGACTGGGGGGCTGGGCTTTAATCAACTGATATCAATCAATACCCAAACCAGTAGAGAGCTGGCAACTACCTTGTGATGTGGCAAAATTCTACGGCAATTCTCTCCGCCATGTACCACTCACGTGGGAACATTCGGCCATATTTCTCCTCGTAGTCCACGAGCTGGCGTTTGATCCAGGCATAGCGACGGTCGATTTTGTCCAGCCAGGCAACCTGGGGGAAGCAGGGAATAAAATCTACCCCAGTACTTAGAAGTAGTATTGACAGTTGAAGGAAATAAGCAAAAACACAGAAGAAAAACACAATCAATCTATTTCTCATGATTTTAAAGAGTGTAGGTTACTTTTTTTACTTGATACAGAGGTTTTTAACCCGGGGTCTATGATTGGGCTTCAGGGGTCTATAAATTTCCTGAAACTGTATGCAAGGTTTTATGCATAGGTGCATTTTTGCGGAGAAGATCTCTAGCTCTTGATCCATTTCTCCAAAGGATCAGGAACCCCAAAATGGTTAAGAATCACTGGACTGTACAGTCAGCCCCTAGGAATCAGGGTTTAACAACCAACATTTTAAGACAGTAATACTAATAAAATATAAATCATAGACTTGAGAGCAATCAATTTTTAGTACAAATCAAATGTGACATCTGAGCTCATTTGGTCAATACTTACATCTTGATTTTCTTGAAAAAGTACTAGGTACTCTGACAGATGCTGTTTAATAAACTTTTTGATGATTTCCTGTTTGATTCTGGGGTCCAAGATATTAGCAACCTGACATGCATCTCGTAGAACGTTGCTGGGTCCTCCTGGCCTCTGGTAAAACACACAGCACACACACCAGTTCAAAAGCCAGAAACGACCTTTAAATCTTATGGCCTCTGACAGCTGCTTCTTCTTGTTCTACTCATGATGTTGTTATTACTTCCACTCCCCTGACACTCATTCTTCTGCTGTGGATGGATATTTGAGTTATTTGTTCCTCAATGAAAGAATCATTACGCTAGTCTGTAGTAGCCAATATAAAAGCTATTCCGTGAATCAACAATGAGACATCCTGGAAACACGGCCAGCAATGATGGTAGGAACTTTGGCTTTCTGAACTGAAGTCACCTTCCTGAAGGGCCCTAAAAGTCAGAATGACACCAGTCTGATGCCACACGTGCCACTTTCTTCTGATTCTAACCTTGGATTCCTGTTCTCAAAGTGCTGTATTTATGCCAAACAGCAGGCTGGCATTTAAAACCTAAATCCAGGTTCCATCCACCATCCTTGCCCCACTGATGGTCAACCACGCAGACAGGCAGCCAAATTATATTATGATATTGGTGCCTTGACCTGAGAAAAAATAGTAGAAGACTATCAAAGGGCTGTGTTGATACATCAGGATGGGAAGGCCTTTTTTATCACTGAAGGCAACTCAGTCTCCTTGAACCTTTCTTTACAGTAACTCACTGAATGAACATGGCTGGCTGAGTGGACTACAGAACACTTGGCATTGGCTTGTGGCTTGGCTAAATAGCCACATAACTCTGGCACAGTTATTGACACTCATCTGATAAATAATTGGAAAAAAAATGCATTTTAACTAGGTGATGATTAAGGGTCTTCCAAATCTTTATGATTTTTACAAATCAATTCTAATTTATCCATCTCAACTGAAGTTCAAGAGTTTCTTAAGTGTCACTTAGGCTGCCCAAGAACTAACTAAACTGTTAAATGCTGACTATGCTCCATGCTGAGTGGCTATTCTGTCATCCACTGAGAATTCTAACTGCTCAGCTCTGGCTTCTGGATGAAAATGTTTGATCTGACAGAGAAGTCATGAAAGCCAAAATCTACGGGCTCATGGGTTCTGATTTTTTCATTTATAAAGGACTTCACAGTAACCTTGGATACCTTTTTTAAAAAACCTTGACTTCCATTTGTGAGGCAGTATTAGAAACACAAAGCCTTTAAGAGAGGTCAATAGTCACTCAGAAGGAAAAAAGAAAACTCTTAGAGAAACATCAAGTCATCTAGCCAGAGAAAAGGGAAACAAGTTGTTAAAGAAAACCATTTTCACCTCATTTTCCTCCTGGGGTCTGAGAAAAAGTTATAATGTAGGTCAACGTTATATTTTCCTAAATGATAAAGCTGGGCTTCATCTGCATCTTTCTAAAACTTCTTAAAACCAGGGTCAATAGCAGAGTAGAGTAAAGCAGACCCTAGGGCTTATAACTTGTGAATCTCTTACTATCCCTTTTTACAGGACTGTTTTCTGATACCCACTCCCCACAGTTACAGCAAATGGAAAAGAAAGATGAAGTCCACAAAGGAACATGCTTTATGAATAAAATACCTGACTGCTAGAAGACAGCTAGAATATACGCAGACATGAAAACCAGAGGCAGGTTTCCTATAGGAGGTAATCAACAAAGCTGGGGCAGTTACCCCCACCTACTTCCTAAGTCTCTTTTATGAGGCACAAAGAACAACGATTAAGATATTTCCAGTTATTGAATTATAGAGCGGATCCAGGAAACATTCCTTGGCTCGGCAAACAGACATATATCCCCCACCTCCATCCACCAAGTGCTGCCTGCCAGCGTGTGCTTCAGGTCATTTCTGAGCCGCACAGTTCTTGCTCCTGAAATAGCTCAAATAATAGAGGGAAAAGCTTCTGAGGGTTCTTCTCTCCCCAACACATGCAAAGCATTAAGATTATGTCTGCTACAATTTGAAGGATGGAGCTAACAGCACTTACCCCGGCATGGTGACAGCCAAATGAGGCAAAGCTTGTTACATGAGAAGTGTAACCAATAGCTCACGAGTGAAATTACTGTGGGCTTTGCAGACACAACACAAACAGCCAGGCTACCAGTGAGAGCTGAAGGGATTCATCCCAACAACAGGACTGTGACCATTAAAAGTGAGTCTCCTAACTGTCACTCCGAGAGTTACCTAAGCCTAGGCACGTTCCTCTCCGTTGTCTCTTCACCAAATTGAAACCAAAAAGTTATGTAACAATTCTAAAAAAAAAACCCACTACGGTTTGAAAAAAAAAATTAAACAAACAAACAAACAAAGTAACCAAGAGAAAAAAGGTAATTCCCCAGGCAGACAACATATTGGGTTTGACACACGTTAAATGAAATCAAAACAAATCCTCACTGTGGATACTGTGAGGACACAGATGAGGAGCCGACTGATATTGCTTCGGGATATTTAAAATCAAGGATGGTCCATTACCCTGAATCTTTAGCACACAGACTTTATGGCTGCCAGCAACCGCATTTGAAATAGTAAGTGAATCGTAGTTACGGTGAGTGTGAATCAGGCCAGAATATGGTAAGAAAATCCAAAGATTGAAGGGAAAATGCAAAATAATACCTTGGTGCCCTGGGAAGGAAAAGCTTCTTCAAAATCGGCCAGGATTTGCTGTCCTAACTCAGTCTGGGCCGCCTTCACTCTGTAGGGAAAAGAGAACATATCATTGCCTGGCATAATTTTCAAACGTCCATAAATATCTGTGCACGGATCCACAGAGGTTAGGACTGCTGAAGTCTTCAGGGATCATCCAGGAAGCAGGAGTGGTGGCTAGGTACGACAGGTCACACACTAGTTAGCAGCAGGTTTATGACTACATCAACTTCCCCAATGGCTCAGTGGCAAAGAATTCGCCTGCAATGCCGGAGACACAGGAGTCACAGGTTCAGTCCCTGGGTCAGGAAGTTCCCGTGGAGAAGGGAATGGCAACCCACTCCAGTATTCTTGCCTGGAAAATTCCATGGACAGAGGAGACTGGTGGATCACAGTCCACAGGGTCGCAGAGTTGGACACAACTGAGCACGCACACACAGATTCTTTCTATACCCCAAAGCTCTCCTAGGCCACCACTCAGCTGTCATGAGGTAGTATACGTCAGTCTTTGCAAAATGTCACTGGGGTAGTTACACTGCAGGAAGATGCTATATACTAATGCCCAAGTCAAATATAAATCCACTTCAGGTTACTGGGGTAATTACTCTGCCATTCCTTGGAGAATAGGATGGGAGGTGGGTTTTGAACTGCTTCAGGATTGCTGTTTTTTTCAACCTGGAAACCAACATCAAGATTCTAAATTTTAACAAGTGAACCAAAATACTGTTTTCTAAAGTAAAAAGATCAAATGATAAAATGAACTGCTATTTAAGTGTGAAGGTCACTAAATGCAGACTTAAGTTCACTCGGGAGATGGTGAGGATGAAGACTGAGTCACACTGGAAATGAGTTTGAAAGGGTAGGCTGGAACTGAACCGGGTGGTTTTCATGGAAATGAGGGCTCAAGAAATAGTGCTTGGCTGAGAGGAAAGAAGGCAAAGGAGAAGCAGCCAGGATGGGAGAGGAGCTCTGGGTCAGCCGCCTGCCACCAGCTCGCCCTCCCCCATCCCAGGGAGTTGAGTCCCTCCTGCCCACCATCCTCACAGCTGGACTTGCCCTGAGCCTGAGGCAAATCTTTTATCTTCACTAAAAGCACCATAAAATAATGTTCTTCCTTTTTTGGTCTCCACCCTGTTACTCTGGAATTAACTTTATGAAGTTTCTAGAAATAGTGAACAGCTCAAAACCACAATTTCTTTGGCTACTAGGCTGTGCCTGGCATCCTACAGAGATTTTTTTTTTTTTAATGAGGGGATAGTCAGGACCCAAAATGGTCTGGTTTTTCTGTGGCATAGTTATAATTATGCCTTATTCCAAATACTTTCCAGGGTTTTTCCACTATCTTCAAAACTTAAAACTACTCTTATAGGTGGGTTTGCAGCCTCTTTTAGTTACTTTCTGAGGGGATGAGAAATGATAGAGATAAGGTTGTCACCCAAGTAGCCCACACGTTAGAATCTAATGACATTAAAATGTCATTCATCTACGCTTGCCCAGCGTACCACAGGAAACATTCCTTGAGTATGAGCTCTGACAAGAGAGAAGACGCTTTTGTAAAACCATTACCTCTGAGGTCTTATGACTCCACATAATGGGCCAGACAGACCGACTCCCCTGGTGCCAGGTCACAAGACAGAGCTTGCAGGCCCCTCTGCTCCTTCTCTCTCCTCTTGGCAGCCACGGAGAGCACAGGTTCCCCCCTAAGCCACACTCACTCCTGGAGGGGAAGTTCCATCCTGGTTGAAAAGTCACAGTCTTATTCTCAGGGCTCCTGAGTGTCTCGGTGATGTAATGGTCCCAGCTCTGCGTCTGTCACCCTTCCTACTTCGCCATCCCCTAGCCCCACATTTTTAACCAGATTTGAAATTGGGGTGCCTGAGGCAATATGGATGGACCTAGAGATTATCATACCAAATGAAGTAAGTCAGAAAGAGAAAGACAAATACCATATGTTATTTCTTATACGTGGAATCCAAAATGTGACACAAATGAAATTATCTGCGGAACAGAAAGAGACGCACAGAGAACAGACTTGTGGTTGCCAAAGCGGAGGGAGGAAGGGGAGGGATGGACTGAGAGTCTGCGAGCAATAGGTGCAAACTGTTATGCTTAGAATGGATAAACAGCAAGGTCCTACTGAATAGCACAGGGAACTTCACCCAATCTCCTGGGGTAAACCATAATGGAAAAGCACATAGAGAAGAATGTATGTATGTGTATAACTGAGTCACTCTGCAGTACAGCAGAAGTTAACACAACAGTGTAAGTCAACTCTACTATACTTCAACTACACTATACTTCAATAAAATATTTAAAAAACAGAAACTGGGGTGCCTGCAAAGACAACCAGAGCCTATAAGGGCAAAAGTATCAGCCTGTGATTTGCAGACCCCCTTGCGTTCTACAGTCCATTTCCAAGGTTACTTCTTGAGACAGTCTAGACTTAGCTGTGCAACTAGTGACCTAGGTATACTCCTAATTAAGCCATTTCCCTCATGTGGGCCACAACTAAGAATGGTTGTGAAATAAGAGGGTGGGGATGGAGGCCTGGACTAGATTCCTCTCAGTATTGTTGTTATCTGCTTACTCCACAACACCCATCTTACAGCTCTAGCTGGCAACTGCATCCATCCTTACCGGTGATTGCAAGTCAGATGTTTAATGAACACTGGAGCAGAATAATCAGCTTCTGCACGTTTCCAAGTGTAGTTTCTGAAGTGTCTGACAGTGACTCAGATGAAAGAGAAATCATTCCCGTGAGTGACAGTAATGATGGTATCTAGAAACCCAAACCCTGAATCATGCACTTGCAGGATAAGATGTAAATAGTGGTCTTTACAATAAGTTGCCTGAGCAAGATCCTACAAATACATCAAACACACTGAAAAAACCCACATCTTTGACCTCATTCCTTCAAACTCCTTCCTCTTCCAACCATAAAAAAAATAAGCTCTTACTGTGAAGAGATGGAGCAGTAGACTCTGTTAGCAGAGTACACACAGAAGGTCAGCTACCAAGACTTCCGAGTCATCCTTATGAAAGTCAACCTACAACTAATAGAAAACAGGGGAAATGACAATTCCTCCCGGATCCAAATAAGCTTGACCTGGTTAGGTGGTAACAACTCAGTGCTGACCACTCTTAGCAATTGAGAGATCCCCTGTGCTATGCTGGAAACGATGGTCAACCAGCTGCCTCCTGGCATCCTCCACACCATGTGACCAAGGGTTGTTCAAAGGTGCCCTTCCCACGGGACTTCCCTGGTGGTCCAGTGGTTAAGGGGCGACTAAGCTGACGCGACTCAACTACTGAGCTATATGCACCACAGGTGGAGAGAAGAAAGCTCGAGCACCACAACTAAGACCTCATGCAGTCATAAATAAATAAATATTTTTTAAAAAAAGCACCCGTGACTAAATGTGCTATCAGATTTCACCAGAGGGATGGCAGCAGAGGGACCACGAAGTACGAAAACCATTTAGACATTTGTGGACAAAATAACCCTGATGCTTCCAATACCCGGTGCATGACTGTCCCAGAAAAAGTACCCTCAGTAATTTGCAATAAACTCACCTCCCAAAATAGAGTGTCTGTACCGGACAGAATGATTAGTCAGTCTGTTTAGTCAGATACTCCAGTTCCAAGGAGACAGAATCTCAACCCAGAATCTTAGAGTGACTCAGTGGGACGCTTTGATATCATCAAGTACAATCCTTACGCTTTCAAAATGCATGCTTTTGAAACTTAATATCTTTTCAGAAAGAACCTGGTCATAGTCATAGAGCCAGCTGGGCCTTTTCTTTCTTTCTTCCTTTTTCTTTCTTTATGTAAAAATTTTTATTGAACTATATATAGTTAGTTGACTAGCTAGGCCTTTTCATCCTCCACTTTAATTTCTTTGACCACTATGCCAAGTGATTCCCTCAATCTGCCAAGTACCTCTCATGCAGAAGAGGTTAGAAATAGCTCTGAAAAATATGTTCAGTTAGAAGGTTTCATGGGTTTCAAGAGAACACCTGAATCTTCCATTTTTCCTCAGGAAATACTGACTGATTACTAGACACATTGGCTTTCTCAGATATTCTTAAGCCAGGAGGATTTGAAATGTAAAGATGACATTAAAGGGAAAAAAAAAACTTTCCTTCAATGCTACATTAACGTTTAAGCATTTTCCAGAAGGGTAGTTGGAAGAAACAGCTGTATTCAAACTGACGTCCATGAACTTCGTATTTCAAATGTGCAGGCAAAGATGTCAGAACACAGGCTTTCCTGTGACTTCCGCAGTCTACAGACAGCAAGCTCTGAAGTTAGAGGCACTGAAGCAGTGCACAGGGTGTGAGACTCCCGCCTCCCCCCTCTCCCCAAACAAACAAGCTATTTCTATCACTTCCAGATGGCTCCACCATCACTATGTAAACATAAGGGAGGAAAATTCACCAGAAATGATGCTAAAAATAAGAAGTCTGGACTTTCCTCAAACTTTTAGTACCTCCTGAAAAAGAACTGTAGTCCAGGCACTGGAAACAAGCGATTCCTTCCCTTCCGTTAATTTTAGTGTTACTTAATAGCACTTATTCTCTATTAATCAACACTTTTTTTTTTTGCAAATAGAAGTTGTGAAATGAACAAAAAGAAAAGTAAATCCTCCTGTGTTTGCAGCAATCCTATATGATAATGAATAGCTGGAGCACCGAACTATACTGATAGAAAGTTATCTTTTAAGGGGAGTGTCATTTCAGCAGTGATCACAAAGTTTCTGCAATTTATAAAATAACTTCTTTGGGAAAGAAAAAATTAAAAGGCAAGAAATCCTCAAAGAGTGCATTCTCTTGTTTTTCCCTATATGCTTTTTTATAATATAAATAAAATTCAGTTCTACCACGTTCCTGCCATCAGCAGTGCCCATCCCATGCAATCATGCAACCTCCTCGATTACATGGTCGCTGTCATGGAATGATCTTTATCTTTTTCTAATCCAGAACATAGCCCCAACCTCCAGTCTCTTGTACCTATAACTGACAAGACTTTTACAAAATACAAATAAGACCA